CGAAAACATACAATCATCCAATTCCCACCCACAGGCTTTTTGTTTTCTTTTACAAAGGGAGAGTGTGACCACACATTTGTGTGAAAACCAGGAGGGAATAGAGTGAGATATCATTGGCACTGTAAAAATGTGTAGTTCCTCTCTCTCTCTCTCACGGATGGGTGGCGAAGGAATAAAGGGAGCATCTTGTCTCAACTCTCTCTTCGTTTAACGTTTTGCTGAAGTTGCCGAGAGATGGACAGAAAGACATGATGAGGACCACTGTCTGCTAATGTAGAGGTAATGTTCTCATTTCGATCTTTGTTGAGATTTTTTTCTCGCTTTTTCCCTCTTTTAATTAGTTCATCACTCGTCTTCCTTTGGTCCTTTTGTTGCTCTTCACAAAATTCAGACATCGCTTTCAAGCATTTTCAGGTAACATAATTGCAAAGGAGAAACACAAAGTTTTATTGCTTCTTTTATGGGTTGTTAGACAGTTTTTTCTCAAATATGCCATGCCTCAACTGCTTCAAGTACTTGAACAAAACTTGAACTGGATGAATATGTTGTGCTTGGTTTGGATATTGATTAGTTGAGATTCTGTCTGGTTAATTAATGAATGTGAGGTTTGCACAATGTGAGGTTTGCCTAATGTACCGGGACATAATCCATATTCTAGCTTTAACCTGAAAAGGGTGATTTTCGAGAGAAGGTATTGGGTGTACCATGCACTGGGCTCATCCGAGCTGTACGTGCACAACATTTACGGCTCGGATGAGTCAGGTGCATAATACACAAGGCGCACCCAATATCTATTCGATTTTCAAGGTATTGGTACTGGAAATTAATGTGCAATCCTAATATGAGAAAGTATACAATACCCAGGAGTATTTTGACATATGGTACCCCTTCCAATGAAAACTTTTTATCACTTGAAAACTTCTCAATTATCAAAGAAAATAGAGCGCTTTCAATTGGAGGGGCACTACATGTCAAGTACCCCGCGGCATTACATACTTTCTCTGCCCACAGATAGCTGAGTTGAAATAAACTCTTGGGAGCATCAAGTCTCCACCCTGGGCCCCCGCGGGTGTAGCGCAGTTGGATGGTAGGACGGACCTTCGGTACCTAGATGAATTGTATCCAGTGTACCAAATATGGTTTCGAATCCCCTCCGCTGCACAAGTCTGCGACTTAAATCTTACCCGTGTCATGGGACTGGTATAGGAGGGGGGTCCTCCAATTAGAAGACCTTTAAAAAAATAAGTATCTACCCTTGACTTACTCAATACCCGTGATTTGGGGATGATCCCTCCCCCACCCCCCCCCCCCCCCAAAAAAAAAAAAAAAAAAAAAAAACAAACAAACAAACAAATACAAATGAAGTTACTGCCAATGTGCTCTCTTGGAAGATGTTAACTTAGTGTATTGCCTTTCACCAGAAAGTATACTGCTATATTCATGGAAGATACTGCCAAATGCTTGTATTTTTTGTATAGTGATGATCACTATAGAAACTCCAACTGTAATTTGCCCTTGATGAAGACAGCTCTAACATAGTTTCTCTTTCTAAATTGGCAAACAGAGAATTTATTCCTTTAGCTGGTGTGTGCAGATACTTTGATTCACCATATGAAATTCAGTTTTGGATACTAGCATCAGACTCCTTATAGATATTATTTTAAAGATTCTACGTCCACTGGATTACTTGAAAGTTTTGAGCTCTTCCCTTGGATGGGAGTGACATGGAGCCAAGAAAAGGTATCAAAGGGATGGATGATGATGTGTCATTATATTGATGTGATTTGTGAATACTTTAGCATATTTCTTCGGCCAACGTGAGGAAAACGTGTGTCCAACTTATCCTTTGTAAAAGGAAATTTCTATATTCACAAGTCGAAGGTAAGGCAACTTTGGTTCTGTTTCCTGATAATGTTGATAATATTTTTATGTTCTAAAGGAACGGAAAAAACAAAAAATAATTTGAAAATTCATTTGGTTGAAAATATGTTATCATTTCTTGGTGGACGATGCAAACCAATAGATTTGAACATTATTTAGCATATGTATTGGCGTATGTTATCCGATTTCACTTTGTTTAGTTAAGAAAAGATTTATGTGATATATTTTTTTAAATTTTAAGTAAACACACACGGACCCTGCCCTTAGCAAGGTTTGAACACTCAATCTCCCCCTCCAGGGAGGAGAGATCAATACCAATGCTCACTATATTGATGTGATTTGTGAATACTTTGGCATATTTCTTCGGCCAACCGTGAGTAAAATGTGTGTCCATCTTATCTTTTGTAAAAGGAAATTTTTATATTCACAAGTTGAAGGTAAGGTTGGTTTGGTTCTCCTGATAACGTTTTTATGTTTTAAAAGAATTTTAAAAATAAAAAATAGTTTGATAATTTGTTTGGTTGTAAATATGTTATCATTTCTTGGTAGGACAATGCAAACCACCATTTAGTATATGTAATTGGCATACTTCATCTGATTTCAGTTAGTATAGTTGAGAAAAGATTTTGATGAGATATGTTTTTTGAAATTCCAAGTACCCTTAATTTATTGCCCATTATTTGTGAATACTTTGGCATATTTCTTTAGCCAACATGAGAAAATCATGTGCGTATATATTTATTACTTGTGTAGTTCAAGTAAATGCGCACACGGTTACAATATATTATCTGTGTAGTAATATTTCATTTTTGTAATGTTATCACAAAAACTTATCGGTGAATACAAGCGACAAGTCACATAAATCCTAGCAAAAGACAGCAGGGTCTTTAAAAGTTGTGAAATCATTTGATATAATTACAATCTTGTTACGTATGGGAGTACTGAATTGACGCTTTAAATTTGAAATTAGAGAAAATATAATTCAAAGATTCGGTGTCTAGAATTTAAATTAAATTTCCCTTAATTTCATATCCAAAGCGCGGATTAAATAATCCCAAACATAATATCTAAGATGTTGCAATTCTTAAGCTTTTGGTGTAATGGAAAAAAGGTTTTGTGAAATTCCCAACCTGACAATCCTATAGAATAAAAGAATATTTTTACCTTTACACAATAATTTTATTAAAAAGTAAGTGCACTGAATGTGGTGGATTATTGATGCAGGTCATCCTCACAGATTGTGACGTGGCATAGGAGTTCTTACTGTTGTGTTGGCACGTGCTTTAACCAGGCGTTGTCTGTTAGGCGCGTGCCTAGGGGAACACTAAAGCACTTTCAGAAATGAAGCTCAAACTGCCAAACATGGCGTCATTAAGTGGTATTGCAAAGGATGTGATTTTGTTAGTGCAGCTCATTGGGGGGAAATGAGATCCCTAATATAATTAAGTCGATCATACAACAACAACGATGTAAAAATAATGTATTTTTGATTTAATGATGTTGCATTATCTACATCTTGTCATGATTTTTTCTTAAAGCACTAAATAAAATGTAATAAATGAAAATATCAAACACAAATACGAGGACCTAGAAGAAGTAGACTATCCAATGGCAGAGATGTTTGTCTATGTGTCTCTCTTCTTGTTATGGGAGTTACTGTGTGAGCTTGATCTGCCTTTAATGCTTGCAATGGGTGCATGTATTCATAGTCCTAAGTTCTTTGGGTGAAACCTAGTTGACCTCCACTTGTTGGTCCTTTAGATTATGATCCCTCCAAATACCCAAGGGGTCAATTCCTTCATTTCACCATGTCGTAAAGTGGCGTGGCATGGTGTTTTAAATCTTTAATGCAGATATTAAATGTATTCGGTTGGACAACAATGGCAGTGGTTCAAACATTAATGGTCCTAAGTGGGAACATTAATAGTGATTGTAAAGGCCTCTTTCACCATCCCATTGGCTAGACTTAATACTTGTGTCAGACATCGTCCAACTTTTCATCCACTAATCCATAATCATTTTAAGTGTCCCAAATAGTAGTCGTAAATACGAAAAGGTCCTACCATTACCATTTCCTATATTTGGTGACTTTGAGTCGAGGCTGTGAGGCACTACATATTGCAGGTGGTATTTTTGAGGTTTGATGCCCTGGCGTGGTGTCAAGATTTTCTTTGGACTTAAAAGTCAATCTTCTCAAGGTTTGGTGACTTCGCGTGGACGTCAGGATTTTCTCTGGAGTCAAGAGTCATACTCTCGAGGTTTGGTGACTTAGCTTGGCTTCAGGGTTTTATTTGGACTCAAGAGTTGTACTCTTGAGATTTTGCGACCTAGTGTGACGTCTGGGTTTTCTTTAGGCTCGAGAGTTGTACTCTCGAGGTCTGGTAACCTAATGTGATATAAGGTTTTCTTTGGACTCGAGAGTTGTATCCTCGAGGCTTGATGACCCGTCGTGACATCAGGGTTTTCTTTGAACTCGAGAGCCGTACTTTCAAGGTTTGATGACTTGACATGACGTCAGATTTTTCTTTTAGGCTTAAGCGGATAAGTTTTTTGTATCAAGGGTTTAGACCACGCGGGCCTTCTTTTGACTTTTCAAAAAGCCATGCGGCTACTTTGTTGGGTCGTCTTCGGCCAAGTTGGCAGTGTTTATTTGATTTTTCAATGTGCCATGTTATATGACACTTATATATCTCAACGTAATATATTGTACTCGATGTGTTATGTCACATCCTCAATTTAAAATATCCAATACAATGGAGAGGTTCTTGATTCCTTTAGTAGGCATCATATGTTACATTTGCCAAAATAATAATAATTATAATAAATTATAATAAATTTAATTTTCCTTTCTTCCTTAAATCTGATTTTACCAATTAATCCTAATTTTATGCCAAAATTAGAAACCGGCCATCACCTCATATAGACAAGAGTTTTACAAAAATTCACTGTGCTTGCTGCAAGAAGACACAATTTTTGAAAAGGTTATTGTCAGGGCATCTTTTGATGCTTGGAAAATGACACAATCGTTTTTAGTTATTGGTATGATATTTTGATTTTTATCTCTCTCATTTTCTCTCTCATCAACTCTCTCCTATAAATACCATGCATACCTTGGCTTTTAACATATATGCAAGTATATATTTCACAGCTTATAAGAAGGCTCTATTCATAGACCTGAATTGTGTTCCTCATTTCTCTCACATTTTATAACTTTAGAAGGATGGACAGAAGTCACTTGCAACGCCAGGTTGCCTACATGAGGAGGTCCTTCTTTGATCAGGTAATTTCTCTTATTTGCCCTTAAAGGTTCGGAAAACAAACTCTCATGCCTGAGCCTTATCGATGACATGAAATCGTCGATTGATTAAATGCTGACACGTAATGAAATAAATGCATTTTTATTTATGTGACATGTTCTCCGCCACTTTGAGATTGCAATCCAAATACCCCATTCAGAATATTTTCTTTTTCTTTTTCTTTTATGGGACATCAAGATGTTATGTTTCTTCTCTTTTCTTTTTTTCTTTTTTTATTTATTTATTTATTTATTTTTATTTTTGGTCTATTGTTTGGTTGTGTGCAACCAATCAAATGTTTTGTAAAAAGACCTTTAAAAGCATGGCCAAAAGTTACTTTCCTTAAAAGTGAAATGTGATATAGGGCTATCTTCAAACAATAATTTATATATATATATATATATATATATATATATATATATTATGAAAATAGTTTTCTTTTTTTTGCAAAGATTGGGTTAAACTTTTTTTTTTTTATATTTTTAGAATTCTTGAAAACTGTTTTCAGATGTCGAAATTAAATTGGTCTTATGCATTTTTCTTTATCCACACACACACATATATATATAGGGATACCTCGACGAGCAATTTATTCAGCTGGAGGACTTGCAAGATGATACAAACCCCAACTTTGTGGAGGAAACTGTGCGATTATTTTACAGCAATTCGACTAGACTGATCCGAAACATAGAACAGGCACTGTAAGTAATTTTTATTTTTGTGTTCATTACAATTTCAACAATGTCCTCACAATAATAGCAATAACTATGATGAAAACAATAATAGCAATAACTATTAATAATATACAAAGTATATATTGTTGAATGCAGGGGGGAGTATCCTCTTGATTTTGGCAAGCTGGATGATTACATGCATCACTTCAAGGGTAGCAGCTCAAGGTAACTTAACTTACACTTCCAAATATAAAGTTAGATATACGTCGCTTATAACAAAAAAAAAAAATAATAATAATAATAAATAAATAAAAGTGCTTATAAAAAATATATATATATATATATATATATATATATCTGTGTGTGTGTGTGTGGATATGCATTAAATTAAATGCATTTGACACCTAGAAAGTGGTTGTCCCAACTCCTAGGGTCCTATAAACTTTGGACTATGGCTCAAATTGAGCTAAGGACCAACCAGTCTTCATCTGGTTACAATAATTGAGAGCCAAGCTCAATCTAAAATCTTGGTCCTTTTGCTTGAATCATTATCCAAAACTAAAGAATAGAACAATTAACAAACGTCGTCTCATGAAACAGAAGTCACTATCTTGGGGTCACCGACAATATATATGTTTCGGACTTAGTGTGACACACGTGTTTGGAAACGTGTGCCACGCTAGAGAAAAGAAAAGACATCATTATTCAATGGTGCTCTTCAATATTATCTTAAATTAAGATATATTCCACCTTTCAAAAAAATAAAAAAAGTAAATAAAGATATGTTGCACCACACAATTCTCACCTTTTGTCTTCAAATGGGATGTACAAAAAAAAAACAACAACTAACTTATGGACCTTAGTAATGTAAACTCTTATTCTGAGAGTGTCATTTCACTTCTCCACCTAGAAAAGGGTTTTTATTTTATTTTATTTTTTTAAAGGTTTTGACATGAATTCACCAACATTCAACATCAAGAAATGAATATGGGATGTGCATTATTTATTTATTTATTTTCCTTCTTCTTTTATTGATAACATAATTAAGATGCAACTCTTAACAGCATTGGAGCTAGGAAGGTGAAGATTGAATGCACAAGGTTCAGGGAGTACTGTGAGTCAGGAAATGCTGAAGGGTAATCTATTTTCATATTTTACAGGATTGAATTGGTCCCAATACTTTCATTATCTCATAGATGTGTGTGTGTGTGTACTGTGTGATGTGTTGGAAAAATGATTCAATTAGTCTAAATAACTATGCATTTTGGTTTGCATTATTTTGTAGATGCATCAGATCATTCCAACAAGTGAAGCAAGAGCATGCAACTCTTAGGAAGAATCTTGAAACTTATTTTCAGGTCTCTCTCTCTCTCTCTCTCTGCATATATATATATATATATATATATATATCTGTGGCTCATTGTTACATTATTTTTTCAGTTGGCAAGACAAGCCCATCCAGCTTAAACTGAGAGTGCCAAGTAAGAGAGATGATGAAGATAAAGAGACTCCTTTGTGGTGAATTTGTACTATCTAAGTGCACAAGTCTTCACTTATCAAATAACACCACATTTACCTTTCAAAAAAAAATAATAATAAAAAATAACACCACATTTCATATGTTAGCACATGTAACTTATGGTTGTTTAAACCTTACAAATGATATCCATGCAACTTTAGCTTTTCCATGATTTATTATGTTGTTGTGGTTGATCCTCCAAGTTTATCCATGCATATGGTGAGGGTGAGAATAGCGGGGCTAAAACAATGTGGGTCCTTAGTGTGGGCTCGCGAAGCCCGGGCCCAATGACGAAAGGGCCCAACTATTCCCGGATCGAAATCACTCCTATGATCGAAGATTCTTCACACGACTTGAAAATGCTTTAAGGTATTCGGAAATGGTCGAAGTAGTTGAATAAGAGGATCAATAAGAGGATCACTATGACTAATACATATATATATATAAAGAACCCTATCTCCTTTTCACAGTGCTACTTGGTCAAGACTCAAGATGTTAGGTTTTGGTAATAATGGATGTTGATTGGTTGGTTAAGCCCATTAGAAATTATTGGCTGTTGGCATAGTGGGCTCATCTTTTTGGCCCATTTGGTCTATATTCAGGGTTGTAATCATATTGGCTCAGACTACACACATATTTACCTAGTCACCATTACTTCAATAACAATAGTTCGTTTTTGGCACTACAGTGTCTAACTACCTGTTCCCTACCTACAAGCCTCAAGTTATATATGTGTGTGTGGTATATATATAGGGTTGGCCATGATATATACCTTCCAGGAGAGGGTAATGGTCGGCTAACAAATAGTGTATACTATACATTACATCACAAGCCAACCAGAGGAAGTATTATTGTCACAAACACACACACACACAGATTTAAACAAGTATCACTTAATACGATAGCTTCACATCATTGACTTTTCAATTAAGTGTGATGACCAATTGTACGAATTAACGATTCCTCTCATACTAAGTTGGATTACTATTGCGACACTGTTATCAATAAAGTAAAACTAATTTATCTCACGACGGTGTAAACTCAGCTCAAACAGTCATGTAGCTAAGCCTTTAAAATTACAAGGATAAGTCATTAAATAATAAAATGCAAGGTCTTCCAAGTAAAATTGATCAGTGAGGGAAAAAATGTAAACACCCACTGTGGGACCCACATGCATGTGTTTGTTCGTTATTTGTCTTTGGTGATGTTGATCCAACACTACTACTAGAAAAGGTACAACAATTAACTTAAATGCCATGAAAGATTTCTTATGTCTAATCCTTCTTGGGCACCATATTTGTGTCCCTATTTTTCTTAGAATGCAACCCAAACAAATAATCTACCTAGTATAGTTATACAAGTGTGAGCTAAATCAAACAAAGCTGGAGTGAGAGCGAGAGATAAAACCCAAAAGCATTAGAATTCTTTGTATTTGGTTAGGAAAGAGAGTAATTAAGGAGGGATAAAGCATCCCTCTTTCCTTCGTATTTTCCTATCCATAAAAAATGGGGGGAAGATGATAAAGAAAGATGGATATATAATAACTAACAAATATATAATTTTCATTTTTAACCTTCCCAACAGTTTTCTTGTTAAACCCTATTATGTTAATGAGGGTATATTGGTAAAAATAATACAAAAACTCTATTTCCCTTCCTTCCAACTAAAAAAAGAAAAAAAAAATGTCACTCTATCCATCCTTTCTACAATCTATTCCATCCAACTAAACAAAAAGTAAGGGAGATATCTTCCCTTCCCTAGGGATGTCTTATCCATCCCTCCCCCTTTCACTTCCATCCATTTTTCCATCATTCCAATCAAATGGAGTATAAGTCATAGAGTAGGGTGGAACAGAAATGCGCATAGAACATAAAAGCAGCACCCGTTTAAAAGAATCCTTAATTTATAAAGAAAAAAGAAGGCACACGGAAACTAGAAAATAGTAAGCATCTATGCATATTCTATAGGGCGAATGGCAAAAAACCCCCCTTCGACTTTCACCCGTTTGCAAAAAACACCCATAATGAATATTTTTAGCAAAAAATCCCCTTCAACTATCTTGAGGGGGTGACTTTAACTGATGTTCGTTTAAATAATTTGCTGAGCCATTTTTTTGGACGAAATTGCCCCTTAACAGTAAAGGGCTTTTTAAAAAAAATTATTTACTCTCTCGTCACGTCAACAAATTCTTCATATTGTTTTATTCATACAATAGTGTTTCAATATTATAATTGAATCATATATTTTTATGCAGGTGCGCTGTTGAATATAAAGAGTATTTCAATATTATAATTGAATCATATATACTATAATACTATATACGTGTGTGAAAATTAAATCAAATTTATTTTATTTACTTTTATCGTATCAATATGAAACCATATTTTAAGTCAAGTTTATTTTATTTTATTTTATTTTTTATCCTATCATATCCATATGATAATTTTTTCCTAATATCATCTTAAATTAGTATGAAATCATATTATATGTTTATGTATAAAAGGATATTTTATACGAGCTTGCATAAAAGTTAAATGATTATAGCAATCTTACTAAAAGTAATAATTGTGTTGTGTTCTTCTCAAAAGGGACAACCACCACCAAAAAAAAAAAAAAAAAAACCAAAAAAAATGAAAAAAAAAAAAAAAAAAAACCCCTCAAAATTTAGGGTTTAAAACCCCAAACTGTAAATCTTCAAATTTCAGTCCAAACTTGCATTATCTTCGTATAGCTATTAATGCGAGTGAGTGAATTGCATAAGAAAGACGAATGATACTGAAAGTCGGTGGATGATTCACTTGGTGTAAATGAACATATTCAATGCCCATTTTGGTTGATTCGCTTGGTGTAAATCAGCGAGTCAATTCTATAACTTTTGTAAAGATTGAGTCCAAACGTGAACAAATAGAAATAAAATTCGTTTTAGGCAGTCACCAAAAAAAATTAAGAAATCGTGGGTAATTTGGTAATGGTGTATTTTTATTAAACGGACGTCAGTTAAAGTCACCCCTCGGGATAGTTGAGGGAGATTTTTAGTTTAAAATATTCATAAGGGAGATTTTTTGTAAACGGGTGAAAGTCAAGGGTTTTTATTTTTTTATTTTTTTGCAATTCGCCCTATTCCATAACATTTTGTCACAAATCACAAATGCAATGAATTGATGGATTATAGGACATGTTAGATGTAACTAAGCCATAACATGCCACTAATAATTACAGTCACCATCTTTTAAATCAAGCATGCTATTGTTGTGTGTGTGTGTGTGTGTGTGTGTGAGAGAGAGAGAGAGAGAGAGAGAGAGGGGACGGCTGCAATGGTTGGAAGTTTTGTAGGCAAAACGTTAATGATCATGACAATCAATAAGTGAAGAAAAAGAAAAAGGGCAAAGAAGAAAAGGGAATAAAGGTCCAAAAAAGCTCTTGAAAAGTGATGAGTTGGGTTCTACCAAGACAGAGTGATCTTGAGGTATTAGTGCGGTGTTGGGGTCCTCCACTAAACAACATTGGTGTGTGCCAAGTTTCACTTGTGCTCATCATGATTACCATGAATTGATATATATATGTATAGTTATATACTTATATACACATACACACAATATATGTTCATTGAACACATACATTGCTCCCTTTGAAAACAAATGGAAAGCTCTTAATGCACCAAGGAACAAAACGCAAAGTATCCCAACAACCCTTCAAACACGGATAGCATGCGCATCATATTCATGCCCACTAGTTCAAGGAATATCTACCACAGATTCACAGGGTCTAATGTAAAATTGTTCAATGTTTAGAGTCCAAATGTAATAACACTCACTACTGGGGAATAGGAATGCCAAATTAGAATATATAATATTTTATATATATATAAAGTATTGCTATCAAAGAGGAGAATTTAAACTAATCTCTTTTAATACATCTGTATTAACCACGGGATTGAGGAAGTTTTTTTTGAATATGTGAAAAGTCGAACCACGCATGATCTGTCAACATCGTATGCATATTGTCCACGCTCTCTTCTCAGAATTCACGATTTTTCTCAAAATGTGTTTACAAGGCGATATGGGACAAATCACCTTCCCACAAATTCCGACTGGGGCTGATCTGACTTGTATGAGCTTGTGTTGCTGTGTTAACCATTGGATTGAGATAATTTTTGAAAAGTCAAACTAATCACAACCCACTTACCGTGTAAATATTGGCCATACTCTCCTTTCGATGCTCATATTTTTCTTCAAACCCCCCCCCCCCCCCCCCCCTCCAATATTTCTATAGGGTGCCAGCCTAACCTGCATGGGCTTGTGTTGTTGTGTCAGTTTTTTCTCAAAGTACATCTACATGATTGAGTGGTGCATATCCACGCATATAAATGTCATCAAACATCTCCCTTAGAAGACGTGAGACATTAATAGTGTGTAATACTTTCTCGACTTCAAATTGGAGCCAGTACTTACTTCGGACTTGTACACACTTATACATGCGATTTAACTGATTTATTTTTTTCTTAATTGGAACTTACACACTTCCTCCTTCAAAAAATTGTTTGCACTCAAAATGAGTCAAATCTTAAACCTAATACTTCTTGATATACCAGGCCAAGTGACTTACCTACTTGAGCCAACTCTTTAGATTAACTTATTTATAGTATGTGACAATTTAATAAAGGGCTAAAATAATAAATCCCCCACTACTTTCAAATTCTGATCTTAAAACCCCAACCTGTTTCAGAAAATCTCTACACTTTTAAAAAGTGATCACATTGTCCCAATATCGGTGACCGACCCGTTAACCGAGTTATGAAATGACAAATTTAACCTTACTAGTTAATGTTAAATTAAAAACTAAAAATTATTCCCCCCCCCCCCCCCCCCCCCCTCCCCCTTCTCTCAAACTCTCACCCATTTCTCTTTAAAATATAATTTTTAGTTTTTAATTTAACATTAAATAATAAAGTTAAATGTGTCATTTCATAGCCCAATTAAGAGGTTGGATACGGATATTGGGGTAATATGATCATTTTTTAAAAGTGTAGGAATTTTTTAGATTTTTTGAAATAGGTTAAAGTTTTATGATCAAAATTTAAAAGTAGTTGGGGGTTTTATGATTTTAACCCTTTAATAAAAAAGACTAAAGATAAAATATACTTAATTATATGTCAAACAAGAAAAAAATAAAGGAACTGATTTTATCACTCCACACTTGATTTCTAGCATTCCATTTTTTTAATTTAGCAACTGAAATTACTGTTTGCCCTTCTTTTTGTATCAAGTTTCCAAATAAATTCTATATACTTCATTTAAGAAATGAAGGGTAAACTTCTCATTTTAATTATTAAAATTAAAAGGGTGATTGAAGTCAAATGTGGAGTGTTAACATTAGTTCCCAAAATATATGCACTATTTTTTCTTTTACATCTACGTCGTCTTCTATTATATTACTTGATATGTATAAAGTGAGTTTTGAATTTAGGTAATTACGTTTGAGTCACAATATGTTGACTCAAATTGACACAATATTTACGTTTGATCCAACAATTTGTTTATATAAATAGTATGATGATTAAACTCGTTTAACTACACGTGTCTATGTGATGAATAGGTTCCATGTATAATGCATGTACAGTTTTTGTTGCTTGTAGAAACCTTTGTTTTCCATATTTACTAATCTAGTGTGGTTTTAGGCCAAGGAATCTGTTTTTTGTAAACTAATTTCTACATAAGAGAAAAGAGAAAGGGAAAAGAACCCACTTTCAAAATATCCAAACAGAAATCAACACACACACACACACACACAGTTCTCAAATGCCCTCTCTTTCTACATATACTATCACACCTCTCTCTCTTTAGTCCACCCCTCCTTTCTCTTCTCTGAGCTAGATTCCTTATATAGTGTTTGGGTTTCATTTTCCTGGAAAATATATTGCTTTCTCCAAATACAAGTGCTTCTAGTACTGTCATCAAGGTACTTAATCCAAACTCACTCTCTCTCTCTTTTCTATATTTGGTTGTTCCTTGGTATTTCATTTTCCAAGTGATTCCCACTTTGTTTCATTAGTTGTCCTGACTTTGTGCTCTTGAAATTTTCCTAGGGAGGAATCTTATTTCCATCCTGTTAATTTTCTTGCATTTTCCTTCCAACTTTCCCGGAAAATTATGGAGGATAAAAAGTTAGAGCTGAGACTTGGCCCTCCAGGAGGAGATCAGGACAATGCTCTTCTCTCTCTTGGTTACACTTCTTCCATGTACAACAACAACAATATCAATTCATGTGGAACCAAAAGAGGTTTAGTAGGAGAGAGAAATTGGTTGATTAACAGTAATTCTACTGTTAATGCAAATTCAGCTGTGCCCAATTGCTCAGAGAAAAGGTAATTAACTTTCTTTTTCTACTTAATCATATCTTAATTTGATAGGACTTGGGAGTGACTTGTAAGTCCCAAAAGTACATTAGCTTTTGCTTACTTTAACTATTATTAATTAACAAAATTTAGCTTTGATAATTTAACTTTTTGCCCTTCCAATCCAAGACCTTCTCTCTTTCAAAGTGTTTTGTTTTGTTTTTTTTTTTTTTTTTTTTTTAATCACACACACAAATAATGGAAAAAATTTCAGTTCAACTAACAAAAATATTCAATTCAATATCTTTTCTGTGTTATATATTATGTAATTTATAAAATTTAAAAATTATGAGTTATATTAATAGTTTCTCTTTGGCATGCAATTTATATATATATGTGGTCTAAACCCTAATCTACCTCTGAATTTGGCTTTGGCTCTTAACTCAAGCTTCAGGTCAAGGTTTTGAGAGTGGTAGGGAGAGAGAGAGAAAAAGATGGGCCTAGCTATTTAGGCTCCCAAAACGCGATTAAATTTCAACTTTCTATGTTTTTTATTTTATTAATCAGCTTGATTAAAGAGTTAAGCAGATGATTTACTCATGAACACATGCAGAATCGCGGTAGCTCCGGTTGTGGGGTGGCCTCCAATTCGCTCCTTTCGGAAGAATCTTGGAGCCAGCAGCTCTCCGAAAGCAGCACCAGAGTCACCAAATGGTGTGCCAAAGGATGGAAAATCTGAAAATCTCAAAAACAGTTTGTTTATGAAGATCAATATGGATGGAGTTCCAATTGGAAGAAAAGTTGATCTCAAAGCCTATGAAAACTATGAACAACTCTCCTCAGCTGTAGATGAGCTCTTCAGAGGTCTTCTTGCAGGTAATCTACAAAAACTAATCATACTTGGAACTGTTTGAAAATGTTGATTTGTAGTTTAAGATAATATGTGTTTTTTGTTTTTTTGTTTTTGAAGCTCAAAGTGATTCCTCTCCCTCTTCAAGGGAAAACGAGAGGGAGGAAACGAAAGCAATCACCGGATTATTGGACGGAAATGGAGATTATACTCTTGTTTATGAGGATAGTGAGGGAGACAGGATGCTTGTTGGTGATGTCCCATGGCAGTAAGCACTATACCTTCGCATAGCAAGCTTAGTTTCTTCCTAAAATATTGTTCATTTTGTAACCTAACCTAAAGCTGTGTTTGGCCTCTCTCTCCTTGACAATTCACTCACAATCCATGTCAAAATCAATTTTATCTTATTGGATTATTAGTTTTGTTCGTCATTAATTTCAAAGTTCTTTTTTCTTTTTTTCAAGCATGTTTGTATCTACAGCGAAGAGGCTGCGCGTTTTGAAGACATCTGAACTCTCCACTCTACATCGTGAGTTTTATTTCTTAGATCAATAATAAGTAAACCGAAAGTCATTAAATATGATGACTTCATCATGATGTCACCCCCTTCTTACATATATGACTTCATCATGTATTCGACTCTCGAACTCTGTGACACAACTCTATTTTTTCAGGCATGAAATGAATATCCATATATTGCATGGTTTGGATATGGATTATGTACATAAGATATGACTGGGACTATGTATTATTAAATTATGGATTTGATTACAAATTTAGTATGTTATGTTTGGGAGAGCGGAATCAGTGCTTTGGATTTGGGATGGGAGGAAATTTAGTTCAAATTTTGTACTAAATTTTTTTCAATTCCAATACCAAGGCACCGATTCGGTGCTGTCAAACATAGCATTAGATACTTTTCATTTCATTTCCTACTTATAATTGAAAGAGAAATTCACAATTTGGACTGATTATTGAGCTTTGTATGTGCTCAGTGAGCTGCAAAAGGTGTTGATTGATCCTGCATGAGATGACAAGAAGAAGAAGATTCAAAAAGAAATTTCCATTGTCCAAAGACCTGGCTTAAGATTCCTATTATTAGTGTACTGACTGTGAGAGAAGAGAATGTAATTTGCAATTAACATTTTTTCTTTTTGTAAAAAAAAATAAAACAATAAATCTTTGGGTATTGATAGTTTGCTTCTATTGTAATATTGTCTCTCTTATATTGTAATATATGGAATCCTCTTTAGGTTTTAATTTCTCTTGATTTTGTCACTATGGATTTTGGCATGTTTTCAAATGAGTCCAGTTCAATTTTGAAGAGCTTAGGCACAAGCACAGACTCAAAACAGTGGTAATGCATCTTGTGTTATGATGAAAATGATTTGTATGATTTGGTTGCCTTCAAAATTCATTAATTGGTATGATCTCTCTTCTATGAAGGGCAAGTCGAGCCCCGCAAGGGGCATGTTGTGGATGTGCGTGTCTATTTTAAAAACTGGTTGTAACAAGCCTCTGGTTTTATGCTAAAAGGTTAGAATCCTCTTATGACCTATTCAATCAAAAAACACTCTCTATATGCAAAGGTAAAACCGCATACATCTAACCCTTCCCTCACCTTGAAGTGGCGGGCATTGAGCCAACCCCTTTTTTGTTAGTTAAGATTTCTTTAAAAGTTCTTCAGATAAAACAACATATATCTAACCCTTTCCTGACCTTGTAGTGGCGGGCACTGAGCCAGCCCCTTTTTTGTTAGTTAAGATTCCCTTAAAAGTTCTTCTATTGCACACTCTCTATAAAGATAAGACTGCATACATCTAACCCTCCCCTGACCTTGAAGTGACAGGCACTTCCCCTGACATTGAAGTGACGGACACTGGGCCAACCCCTTTTTTGTTAGTTAGGATTCCCTTTAAGAGTTCTTCTATTGTTTGGTGCTTGGTAAACAAATCTGCCAAAAACAGGTCAAATTTTCTGCAGTAGATACAAGTAATAGAATCTTGAAATTTCCAGGAAAATCAAACAGCACATTCAGTACAGAATCAAAAATCTCCTCGTATGAAAATTAAAATGCAGTCACCTCTGTCCTTGAAAAGAGAACAGTCAGTACCAGACACAATGACTTCCAGCTGATTAGAAAAGAAAGAACGAAACAGTACGACGAGCATCTAGAAAAGGACCCAAAGTAATTCATTCAAGAAAGGGACCACACCCATTGTGTCTTTCAAAGAGCATGATGGATACAAGGAAATTGAAAAGAAAAAAAAAAAATGCAACGTGCATCAATAAACTAGACAATTCATAATGGCTGTGTCAAAAAACCACTTCAATGTAGTTTGAATTGAGAAGAGAAAATAATAAAAATAATAATAATTGCAGTGAGAGCAACACGCATTTCTCAAAAAAGAATAAAAAAGCCCATAGAATGCTACATATCGATATACACTTTTTCAGCCTGAGTGCAGGGAATCAAGCTACCAACCCAATATCCTTGAAGTATTCATGCTCAAGAGCACTCCTGGCTGTAATTCTTCTGCTCGGATCCAGGTAAAGCATTTTCTGGAAAAGAATATAGCAATAACTTAGCAATATGAACACCAAGATAGAGGTAATGGTTCTTGTAAGTGTTGTTTGTGACTGTCTATGAAGTAGCGATGAGCTCAAGGCCACAATAACTTAGTAGACAACAGAAGTCGGTTACTATTAGATAATGGAGGGGAGGGAGGTTGAAAAGATCGATTTCAAAACTACGATATATTTATTTATACAATATTCAGTAAGAAGATACTATAACAGGCAGGATATAATAAATGAGCTGCAGGCCAACAGAGAAGAAGTCAATGGAGGTCTTTTTACAAAAGGAAGGTTAAACCAGTTTGATGATAATAGGTGAAAGCAGACACCAAATGACAAGTTCTCTAACAGGTATGGATGCTTTGGCATCATCATCTTGTCCTCAATGCGGGATGCAATTCTAAATAAACATATCGAATTCTCAACTTACATTAAGAAGATCAAGACCAGCTGAATCAAGATTGGGGACCACTGCTGCTAGGTTCTGCAAAGTACACAGCACTGGGTGAATCTTTCAATTCCAAAAATATTGAATATTCAAGAAGATCAAAGGAACAGCGTCACAACATCCAAAACCGAATCACCTTGGACGGCCACTTTGGAAAGGCAGATTTATAATCAGGCAAAGATGTCACTCCTGGCCATGTATCCTCATTTGGAGTTCCCAAGACTCTTCACAGAAAAGAGCATACATGAATAGATAGATTGGAAATACAATGCATAGCACATAGCAAAAATTGCCTTGAACACCTTCTATAAAGCCAGGCTACTGATATTTCAATCATAATTTCCAGTTCCTTCCATTTTTTTTTTTTTTTTTCTCTTTTTGATTGGAAGAGGGCCAGGGACGGCCAAAGAACAGCAATTCAATGAACTTTGAGCCATGGTCTATTCAAAGTAATCTGAAGCCTAAACAATTCAAGTTTCTCCAAACATCATTATTTATTACATATGAGTAAGAAGGGACCAACTAAATATTTGGGTTGTTCCAAATGAACACCATGTGCATAGGATTCTTACAAGGTGTGCAAAATGCTAAAAGAGGACTTCAAAAGTATTTATAGTATAAGAATGAGAATTTGATATACCAGGCTGCTTTTTCTATAAATAAAAAAAAACAAAAAAAAAAAGGTGAGGGTTGAAGCCTCAACAATGTTGGCTCCTTAAAACTTTTTGCGATTATGTTCTTACCCAATATTGTTCTGCTCTTAAACTATATCATGTGATTATACCAGGCTGCTGCTTCTATCAAGAAGAGTAGGGGTTTAAGCCTGAACAATACTGGGGGTTTCGAGTTGAACCTTATCAAAAAAGTTCTGCAACTGTTTTTACAGTTAAATTCAAGATGACTGCATCCTTAAATTACAAATATTATCATAATAGGAATCACCAGCTTTAAACTATTTAAGTCATTGCAGAATTATTTTTTCCTTGTAAGTCCGAAATTCATTGAATTATATGCTAAGCCCAGTTTTAGTTGATGTGGGTAGTGGCACTAGGTGGATGGTCTATCCACCCTTAAGTGGTATTACCTGCCATTTCGGAGGGGTGAGCTTGAGAGATGTCTAAAAGAAACCGGTTCAAAGTCAAATTTCACAAGGAGATTTAAAGATCACTGGTCTAAAGCACTCTTGATGAGCAATTGGGGTTTCAGACCATCTGCTCATGAATTTGTTATTTTATTTTATTCACAAATTGCCAGTACAGGGCTCGAACCCCTCACCTCCCCTTGAGGGAGGAGAGGTTATACCATTGGGCTAATGGCCTATTGGTATCTGCCCATGACTTAATTAAATGTTTACACAAGGGTCTCTTTATTATTATTTTTCGTGTGTGTGTGTTTGGGAGAAGGGGGGGGGGGGGGGGGGGGGGGGTGGTGCATTCATTCATCTATTTATTCCTCTATGGCAAAGCCAATTCAGAAGTATAGCAAAGTATTGATGCAAAACACTTGTACAGTTTTGCCGCTAATACAGTAAGACTTTTAATGGGATGCTCTCCATGAAACAAAAGAATAAATGTGGTTAAAAGCTATAAAACCTGAAAATCTTAAATAGTTCATCAATCTCAGAATCCCCAGGAAACAATGGCCTCTGGTTCACCATCTCAGCAAATATACAACCCACTGACCACACATCAACAGGAGTAGAATAGTGGCGAGACCCTAGGAGTATTTCTGGTGCCCTGTACCATAATGTCACCACCTGGAAAGAACACCAATAAGTGCCCGACATGGAAACAATAGCCCAACTGAAAAGATCCGTCATTGGAATTGCTCAACATATGATAACTTAGTGGGAAACAAAGAACATACAGGAGAGTGCATTGAGCATTATTTCTCAAAAGCAAAATTCAACCAAAAATTTGAAATTTTATTTCCTCAACAAAATTATTACGAGCTTTACAACTGTGGCTCAAAGCGTGGTTTGGTTATTAGGGCATTTAAGCCCTGAACAAGGATGCTATTTGAGTTGTTCACGATTAATTATAATCTCTAACTCGCAAAGTTTAAGACAAACAACCTCAGACCTGTTCAATCATTAAATAGCCGAATATAACTCTAAGTCTCTAACTTCTTATTGGTTTTTACATTTTTGTCTGAAATGAATCTAAATTTGATTATGGTCATCACTCTTCAAAATTGAGACCTAATTTTTTATTATATATACACAAGCAAAATGATTCATATGCATATATACAGATTAGAAAAACAGAAGGAAAATCTGGGATGGGGTGTAATAATCTATTCTATACTACTATATAAATGTCAATAGTATTTTCATTTCTATATAAAATTTTTAATGAATAATAAGTCACATATTCAGATGTATTATGGATATTTAAATGTTGCTTTATCATGTTGTGAGATAATAATCTTAATTTACATTTCTTATTATTGTCCTTGGATAACTTAGAAACCTTTTCTAACTGTTTAAATGTGCATAGCACGTGGAGTTTTACTGGTAAAAGATGTATGACAAGGGATAAACAATATTTATGGAGATGCTATTAGGAATATAACAATGTCGGGCAAACCTCAAGATGATGCACCCTAGTACCTCATGTGTAAATGTCCTGACAGGAATACCAAATGCTCTAGCCAATCCAAAGTCTGCAAGCTTTAGTGCATTGGTACGGCGATCTATCAGCAAGTTTTGAGGTTTCAGATCTCGATGAAGAACTCTATGAGAATGGCAATAAGATATACCACGAAGTATTTGATATAGAAACATCTGCAAATTGAAAAAATAATGAAATTGCATCTAATTTAAGTTTCATCGCATTTAATTTTAAGTAGCCCAAGGGATCTGGATCATCATCACATTTAGATCAAAATCCAGATAATGAAAGCTCTACCAAAGGAACAATGCATTCAATCTCGCATCCATCAGAAAGAGAAGGGGTGGGTGGGTGAAACCTAAGATAATATAACTAATATAAGTTCAGGAAAAAAAATTCAGTTATAGCTGCAGAAAACATTTCTCTTTGCTAGCTTAATAATTCAACAATTCAGCAAAAATGATGCAAACATTTTAAGGAGTGCAAGTCTGCTGTTCCTACCTGACGCAATTCTATATAAAAAAATAATAATAAAATAAAAAGTTCAGGTCCTAGCCATTTCAGACTCTGGCTGTAGATAGAAAACTAAAATAATTTGTTAATAAAAACTAATTTCAGTTACTTACAGTTGGAAAATTATTACCAAATGAACTACAATTATGTCAGTACCAAAAATCTCTACAAGAGTTTCTGTATGTCTTGAGATGGGGTACACTTAAACTCCAGAATTAATCATCTATATTAAAAAATGTCACCATATTCTCTCCATGCATTTCCAAAATCATGGAAAACAAAAAATATCATTCATGTATCCAACCAATTTTTTCTAATCTTGAAGCACAGCATGCACCAACCTCCAAAGGGCAGGAAGGTCTCACTCACTTTTATTAGACGAGGATCCTTAGAGAACTCTGGACATGAATCCATGTGTTTCTTCAAATCCAAGTCCAGATACTCAAAAACCAGATACAAGCGCTTCTCACTGTGCACTACATCCTGTAATCTGTAAACCACATGTTTATGAAACATTTTAGCACGAATTCATACATAAAAACGTCAAAGAAGAACAGTTAGTAATCTAACACACACACCAAAAAAAAAAAAAAAAAAAAAACAGATATAATTTGCATAATTCATTCTAATAGGTTTAGTCAAGCAGAAGGGTTGTTCGTATTTCATCAAATCTATCAATGTCAAATACACTGGCAAATACCCATGTAAAACATCAATCTGGCCTCTACCTTGTACCTCCTTTCTTCATCCTTTTTTTCCTTAAAGTTTCCATAAATGGCACTTTACATTCGTGCTAGACATCAAACAGCACACCAATATCCTTGCATGTGTCAACAATTTAAGAGTCAATGAAAAAAAGTAACATTCATAGAAAAAAATGATAAATGTCTGGGGGCTTTCTATTAACTACGATCTGATAAATCTGACAGTTCAAGTATCTGTGCTGTGCTTAGGGTCTGGTAGAAGCCTAATTCAATAAAAATAGAGATTAATTGGCAAAGAATTTTAGGTACAAAAGAGTATGGTATACTACATTAATAGGCATAGTTAAATCACCTGACAGGGTGAAAGTGGCTTCCTAATCAGGACGTTTTCTTGTTGCTAGTTGTTTGACCAAAAATCATAATAACGCTTCAATTAGTACTAGTTGCTTCACCACCAATCACCGTAACACTTCAATTGACCAGTTGCTTATGATGCAAATAATAAATTGCACAATGCAGAGAAACTTACTTCAGTTATTGACAAGCCTCTGGATGGAAAACTCACCATCTTTTCTTGAGCATTATACTTAGTTGTTAAACATAATTATTAAAGGATACCAAACCCAACAAGAGCCTTCCTCCAATGCTCTCAACTTGGGTCACCTTATAAACCTGCCTCCAAAGGCAAGGATGTGTAGCTCCATCATTTTGATTCATAAAAACAAAAAAATCCAATCTGTCCCACCACCCTAAATTTTTTCTTTTTAATGATTAGAAACCAAAAGTATTTTTTACACATTAAAATTAGCTGGAGTAAATAACTCATTATACAGCTATATTGAATGTCACCAGTTAGTCTAACTCCATGTGTCATTGTGATGCTCTCTCTCTCTCGCATTTGTGTTTATGTGTGTCTCTCTGTGTGCAATTCTCTTTGCATGAATTCTTTTTCCTAAGGCGAAAATTCTCTTTGCATGCATGTTCTCTCTCTCTCGCATTTGTGTTTATGTGTGTCTCTCTGTGTGCAATTCTCTTTGCATGGATTCTTTTTCCTAAGATGAAATTCTCTTTGCATGTATTTTTTTTCCGAAGATGAAAAGCTTAAATTTAGGTCACTGGTGTGCCATCTCAAATCAAGAGATCTTTGTTGCATCTCTCGAGAGAAGGATGCTTTTCATTTCTTCTGCATTAATTCTTTCATCAACCAGAAAAGAGTGCCTAATATGTACACACATCCATTTATATGCAAAATGCCAATAACAGTCTTACCACAGCAAACAAAAAATATAGCATATCTTTCACTCTCTATCTTATCAAAAAATATAGTATACCTTTCACTCTCTATCTTATCTGCCACCCTTTCTAATTAATAAAAGAACCATATGGTGGTGTCATACCTGACAATGTTTCCATGCTGCATCTCTTTCAAGAGAGAAATTTCTCTAATTGCTGTGCTTGGCACGCCCTCGTCTTCCTGCTCCAAGCGAATCTTCTTCAAAGCTATAGTTTCATTGGTTACACGGTCACGGGCCTTATAGACCACCCCATAGGTTCCTTCACCAATTTTCTCAACCTTTTCATACTGCAATAGCCATAAAAATCACATATAGTAGATGACAAAAATTGTTGAGAAATGACTAAATTTCATGCAGAAATGAGAAATTTTTACCTGGTCCATCAGTCCACGTCAAAGAGCTCAATAATCAACAGAAATATCTAAAGCCGAGTGGAAGGAAATACAGAACAACAGCGTCATGTAAGTAAAAGTATAATAATTTATATGAGTGTGTAAAAACAAGTGATTGAACACACAATAAATTGGAAAAGGAAAATGTCCACAAACTAGTAACAGAAGATATGGTATAACCACTAACATGATAGGCCCAAAAAAAAAATAGAAGATGGCACCACCTCACAATAATCAAGTAAGACATAAACTAATAAACATTACAAAAAAAAAATCCAAAAAAAAATAATAATAGAAAAAATAAAACAGACAGAGAGAGAGAGAGAAGTGAACGGAAGCAGAAGAAAATCGACAGGAAGCATAAACTTCAATTAAAAGGACCCAATCCAATGGCAGAAATACAAGTACCAACTTCTGTAGAAATTAACAATTAAAAAACCCAGAAAGCAACTCTCTCTACTTTGAATTTAGATGCTGACGAAGGTAATGCACAAAGTTCATTTCTGTTAAGTCCTCTGGCAGAGCAGGAAACATATAAATTTTTATTGTGCCACAATACGCCATTTTGTTCGTTCATAGTTGTCATTCCACATTTAAAATAAACCACTTCATGAATTGCTCGGTATAACATTGCCTAGATTTATTTAAAAATTAAAAAATATTATAAACAGTTCCATCTGCAATTATAACAGTAATAACACCAAATGAACGACCGTCTTTGAAATTATCATGGCCAATTTAGCACAATTATATACAATGTCACTTCCTTTACAAATAAAGCGACATCAAGGCTCGTCATTTTCAATTATGAATATATGAATTGATAAAGAAGTGTTTGAATATTGCAAGAGTCTGTATATGTAAATGCAAACATATAGTCGAACAAGGTCCATAAATTTCTACAGTTCTGATCTCCCTAACAGATCTATTACAGTATCTAAGAAAACAATATCAATGAAAAACAAAACCCAACTCGAATTAGATCTTTAACATTCAGATAAACTATTCTCAACTATACATACATACATATATATATATATAAACACACACACTTGTATAGAGATAAATGACATACGAAAGAAATTTAAGGAACATATGTGGTGAAGGTGAGAAAAAAGTACGAAAGGATTCACCTGGAGAAACGATCACAGCGAATGGATTGGGGAGAGAGAAAGAAAGAGAGATGGGGTTTTGTATGTATTAGATCAGTATCGAACCCTAACCCTAACCACTTCGCCTTAGTCAACCATTGGTCCACTCACTATTGTGGTACTAAATTACTAATGCAAAAACTTTACTTAGACGCCCGCGCATTTTATTTAGTCATTTTGGCGCTTTTTTTATTTTTTTTGTTTTTTGCCATTTTGCCTTTTCCCTTTTCCCTTCGTTCTTTATCTTTTGTGCCTTTCTTTTTGTTTATAGTTTGTTTTTGAAGTTAAAGCAAACACTTTTCCGAAACCTGAAATCTCAACTTAAGTAACACCATCTTTTTTAACGGGTATTGTTTTTACACTCTTGTGTGCTTTGATTTAAATTTTTATTATTTAAGATTTAATTCTATTGTCTTTATGTTCTCGCTCTCGAATTCGTTCTCACTCTTATTCACGTTTCCACTTTTTGTGACTTAGCTCTTAACCCTCTATTTTTTTTAAAAAAGAGATATCATATCAATCTTTCCAATATTGTATTTTACCTTCTTTTATTTTCAAGAAAAGATACTCTAGAATTGTATTTAGTTTGGCTCACTAAAAGCGAGAAATTAAATAATATAAAGCATTAAAAAAAATTTGTTTATTTTGCTTCCATTATAATCAAAAGAAAATGATGGTATATGAATTATTTGTGGTCATATATTGAGAAATCTTTAATCTCATTTACACATGTGAGAGATACAAGGAAATTTATAAGAGCATTTAGTATTATCACTAACATGACTTAAAACTAAAGTTAATAGAGAGTTATGTAAACATACTTTTTAATTTTGTTTATGTAAACATACTTTTTATTGGAGATGGGACTCACTGAGTCACTGTGCCAGTAGTCTTGTAGATGTCTTCTAACTCAGCAAATGGAGCCAACTAAACAAAAAATTATTGGATACCCTGGGGGTATGGTACCCTAGGGCATCCCAACCATTGGATGTGGTGGGGCCCACCACCACATCCATAATCCAATGACTTTCATCATTCTGGGGTATTCAATAATTTCTCCACCTAAACATCCGACATGCCATCAATATAGGATGCTCAGACCTTAGGGTTCCATTTATTTCAAAGTAAAATATTTTTCTTAGAAAAAAAATATATATATATATATATATATATTTATGTAAATTATTTTATTTTATTTTATTTTTATTTTTGGGTATTTAGCAAATGTCTAGGTAGAGTCCATCAGGCAGGCATATAAAATAGTTTACCGATAATTAATGAATAAGTTATTTTTATTAGGTTTTAATATTTTTTTTTTCATAAATATTTTTTGACAACCAAACACCAAAACATATAGAAAATATTTTTAAAAAAATATTTTAGACTCAAACAAACGGAGCCCTATGTTTTGACTTGGCATTGCATTTGGGCTCTATTTATGTAAATCTTTTAGAAGTAAAAAGCTTTTTCAATTTTCAATTTTTTTATTTTTTTATATTTTGTGCGTTCCAGTTGAATTATGGAAATAATTTTAGGAAACCAAAAGATGCATGTTTGTGGCCCACGGAGTAAGATAGTGATAGTCCATTGCATATTTTGAATTTAGAATTAGAGATTAATTAACTTTCTCCATTTCTAAATCCAAAACCCAGACTCAGTGCCCCAACATAGCTTTAGATTTTACCTAGTAACTCTATTTGTCACAGGCCTAACTCTATCAATCACAAACCTAACGCCCACTACTCTACACTGCAAAGCAAGAACACTTCTATGAAGAAGTCGTATACGTGTCGGACAGCAACATTAGCGGACATTTCTTCGACATGTGTCTGACAATTCATGTACCTATCCATATATAAAAAATTAAATTTTATTGTTCTGGACACTCCCCCAACGCTTTCAGACACTTCGACACTCTGCCAAGGTTAACATTTTCAAATATTTCTTACACAAGTATTCCTGTTAATCTTGAAAAAAATACTTCTTTCTCTTATATTTTCCTTGGATCATTCTACATTGCTTGGACTATTTGGTTGGTACTCTTCAATCTTAGTAATCGAAGTGAACAATTCAATTTTTACCACAGATAAGACCTAAGAGATACAAAGTTGCCATTTTTCTAAAAATATAAACTTTGGAGGCAAATAATAGTTGTTAGCCTGATATTAACAAGTTAATAAAGACACAGTTCAAAACATTACGGTTCCTTAAATTAATTAAAGAGTAACCCTATCATTAGGTGTACCTTATGACACTTTTTATGAACTATTTGTCTTGATCCTATGTAAATATTGAGGGACCGACTGTATGAAATTGGAGTTTTGGAATTAGAATTGGGATTGGTGGAATTTAAAAAAAAAAAAAAAAAAAAAAAAAAAAAAAAATATTGTTCAATTTTCTTAGTTAGTTCTATCAAATTCCACAAATCCCAATTTCAAAATTCCAATTTTATACAACAGAGCACATCCATAATGTATACACGATTGGATTGGAAATCTTTGAAATTTTCCTACTCCAATTCCAAACTTCCACAAGCTATCTATTGGGCCCCCAACCATGTCTTTCGGATACACATCAATTGGGGTTGGTCTGAAAAGCCCAACCAACCACTATATTGTAAAAAAAAAATATTAAGGCCCGTAGCTCAATCAAATACTGGTACCAAGCAAATGATCCAAGTCTATGATCAATATGTCTATAGATGAGAATACATGTAGTCATGTTGGATCATGGATGTTTAGATGACTCGACGTGGCAATGCATTTGGGTTCTATTTGTTTCGATATAAAATATTTTTATGGTAAAACATTTTATGCGTAAAATATTTCACGATTAACAGAGTTTTTTTATTTTCATTTTTGATTTTTGGCTTGAATCATGGAAATATTTTTCGAGCAAAAAAAGATAAATGAGTGTAGACCCAATAGAGGAAGATAGTACGTACAATTCCATTATTGTTAAGAGTTTTTTCTCATAATTTTATGTTGATCGGGAGAGTTTGATTTTACACTGAAACACCAAAAAAAAAAAAAAAAAAAAAAAAAAAAAACCCTACTATTTTTTGAGGATAAAAAGATACATGGGTGTGGACCCCACGAGGAACGTATTACGTACAATTCCATTATTATTAAGGGTTTTTTTTTTTCTTCATAATTTTATGTCGATAGGAGAGTTTGGTTTTACATCAAAAAAATACAAAAAATATTTTAATTTGATGAAGGTATACCGTATACACACATACATATTTTATAAAGCATACATGTGTTACACATGATACATATAGATTTTAATTTTATGAATGAGACTAATGTGCTAGGGCCTAGGGGTGTTTACCACACCAACACTACTCTGATGTCGGTTGCTTTGGCTAACATCTGAATTGTGGTGCACTTATATTGAGCAACTACTTTGCCAAATGATTGTGTTAAGCTTTCGCTAAGGTTCGAATATCGGAACTCTAATAAATTTGTACCAATTGAGCTATTATTCATGTGATATAGAGAGGTGTGAGTTGCTGGGTATAACACTCCCCTCCATTTTTATAGTTCGTCAACCATTGGTCCACGTAATTAAAATTATTCTCAATTTATGTTCAAAAACACCATATTTGTGTGAGCATAAGCTGAGAGTGCTGAAGTCTGATTATTTATCACTCCGCCAACACCGTTACACGGATAGAAAACTAATGGGAAACATGACTTTATTAGCAAGAAACATGACTTTATTAGCAAGAAACGTGAGTTTAGCATTGACTTTCCTTTTCTTTTCTTTTTTTATATTTTTTTATTTTTACGTTTTTCAGAATAATTTTAAGGCTGACGATAACATTATCCTTTTTCCAATTACAAACTTGCCCTCCGAAGACATTCTCCTAAGAAGATTTGTAGGCGGGCTTTAATTAAAGATGGTTCGGCCTCTTGCCGACCAACTTAGTACGCTAGCTTGTTGCATGGGTTGCGGCCGGTGGCTCAATCAAGATCTCGCTTTAGAGGAATTATTAAATGGTCATGATCCCGAATTAATTATAAATGAACTTGTAAATAAATGTGTAAATTTTATTTATGTGTTGATTAGTGATTGCCCTTTAATGTCAAAGAGTAACATAAAATCTACCTAAATAATATAATATATATATAATTACATTATTTAGGTAAATTTTCTACTTTATATAATATAGTCAAATCTGAACCCTACGTCTTTTATTTTGAAAAGTAATTTTTTACTTTTCAAAATAAAAGATGTTAGGTTCAAATTGAATTTTTGCTTGGCATTCCACTTCATCACTTGTACATTTGTGTAGTACGGAGTGTGTGTGTATATATATATATACACACACACACCCACATTTATGATTGACTGATTGTATCAAGCATGAATGACTGAGGAAGTGTTGCTTTTTAAATCTGCCTTTTGAACCAACAAAATATTATTGTTTGACACCCATAATTCGCATTTTTGTTCGTGATATTAGTATCGGTATAATGAATTTAGACAAAATTAATATAAATTAGTTGATATGAATTACGTATCGGATTTAAAAAGGAATCGTCTATCGACCGATACATCGCGTCTCGGATGAAAAGTATAAATGAATAAAATCTCCATTCCGTACTTCATTTCACATACAGTGTAGGTACAACTAGTATTTTGCACTTATAAACTTCTACATATTTTAGAAGAAAAATTCTTTTCAAAATGACATATTAAGCCTCTTAATTAAATAGGTAAGGATGAGATGATGGACATCCTATAAACCCACATGAATATATGTATAGATCAATCACTTTCTTGCCCCCAATGTTTAGTCGGTTTGTTTTTTCTACTTGAATAACGACACTTGTTTTAAAAATCAACTAAAAAAGCTAAATTATTCTAAACTACTCAATCATAATAATTACATGTAATCATGATTCGTTGTATTGGTCAACGTATTTAATTATTTTTTAAATAATTTTTACATATATACTTCTATGAATAGACTGATTAAGTCGATTTACACCGATATTTTTTTAAATTCGTTACACCATAATTTTAAATAATACCGTAACTGAGACTGCGGACCTTATATACATACAATTATAGTAATAGATTTGGGAAGTCTCCATTAAAACGTGTTATTCCTATTAGAATTGATTGTATC